TAATGCTGAATTCGAATGGAGTCGTAGCCGCGCGCACGCGGACAGGAAGTAATCGCATCGGGCCATGGCTAAGCCGGAAAGTTCATTCGATAATAACGCGGGTTCCCTCTCGCGCTCGCGACGAACTGCTATTGCCGAAGTTAATTTATGGCTTACGGCGAGACGCGTTTAAAGCTTTATTCGAACGAACTTCGTTGCTTTCGACGTTACGTCGCTTCACCCGAATAGCGCGGCCCCCCCGGAATGGGGATCGAACACGCGCGTATTCTAAACTTTGCGACAGGTTAATATAATGTGGATGCAAGATTGTGCGCTTTGTATTGTGCGCGTTCAGCGGTACAGGATTGTTTTCTTTCCATTTTTGACATTCGGTGAAGCGAGTGCACACGCTTCGATATGTCACACCTTCAAAATGATACAGCAAATTTTTTTGAGAAGAATTCTGACTGTTAAAATGTTCGATGTAAAGTGCTCGATGATTTGCTCATTCGGTATTCGTCAGCACATGCTTTCAACCTGAAAATTCATGTAAAGTAAACAGTAGTGTGTATCCAAATATTTATATTTTATGCAAGCCCGTTATTCGTAAATCGTAAATTCGTAAATCGAATATCAAAGTAACGTAAACTTTATTCTTACATTTAAATATCATTTAATTTGACAAAATTATAAATTATTAATCCATAAAGTTATTTGCAACGTAAGTATAAGTCTTAAGTTCAAGAGTGTGTCACGCAATTTTCAATATCCGTGTAAATGTGATTACTGATACTATCAGATATAACCGCTGTGTGTAGTGGAACCCAGCGAAAACTTGTCCAATCTCCCGGGTCGGCAAAAGATGAAGGCGCTTCAAAGTGCCGCTCAAGCGGTGAGGTCGGAAATATTGACGCAACATGACGGCATGGAGTTTATGCGGGAGTCGGATCACAGTCGCGAGTGCGTTATCGACAAGTTGCTCATTCGCCTCTCGGTGTGTCCTTAACGAGAAACTTCGCGGGGGAGGGTTGAAACACGCGCAAGTTTCTCCGCGATGGAAAATCCGAGTGTAACGATTCGATACGGTTTTGATATTGCTCGAAAGCAAAATCCAGAAAACATCAAGATGTCTCGTATCACGACAGAGTCTAATAAGTCTAATAAGTCTGAATCGCGAAAGAATTCGTTTCAAGTAGCTTTAGCAATGTGGATATCGGCCTCCACCCATACACATGTATGTCGCCCTATAAAATTCCGAGTTTTCTTTATTACGCAGCATTGCAGAGATATCACGAGACGTTAACCACACCGAGGCACGTAAGTAGTCGCGGCGCTCATTGGTCAGACAAGCGCGGCGCGGCACAGCAATGGTAAAGTTTACCGAACAGCTGTGCGAAAATGTATCGTTGTTATTTGTTTCTTACTAGTCCCTTCCCGCGGTTATGTCCGTAGTCGTCTCGGTGCACTCGGTGTGCTCAATTTGCGCAGATAAGACCGTACGACTAACCCAAATGATCCTAAAGAAAAAGTTAGAAACATAAGGCTGAAATTCCCTTGGGACGCTAAGAAAAGTTACTAAGCAGAAGATTTTCTCTTTCGATATTTCGGTGGGCAAACTGATCAGAGAAAACTTAACTTAATCTTAAATGTCTTATATTGAATAATCAATGTTTGGAAGAATTAAAGATAGTAATTCTCTTCATTTGAAAAATAAAATTGTGAGATTTTATTAAAAAGGTCGTATCTTATGTGCGATGAAATGTTGAAATTATTTGTATGTCTAACATTTTATTATTTTTAAAAATATTTGTAGAAGATGATTTTGATTTTTAATTTACAGAAATAAACTAGTTAATTTTTAGAACTTTTTTGTTACATTGTCTTTTTAATACATCTTTGAAATATTTTCTATGCTTGATGGCTATGATTAATTGGCGTACATATGAATATAAGCCACAAAAACTCACTTTTTGCGCATAGTCTAGGTAGTTACATCAAATATTGTAACATTGTATCGCGATAGTAACTTCCATTTTCGATCGGTTCGCCGTCGATTCTCAATATCGCTGTACGGACGGCTTAATGAAATTTTCGAGGGTTTCGATTCTGCCATAAATTTCTATCGCCGACAGCGATCTCGTTCGCTGATACACAAAACCGGACAAAGTCGACGCGGAGTCGAGAGAGAATACTCGTAACTTCATTCTCGACTCATCGTAATTCAGCCCGCATATACGACCCTATTTTCGTCGCAATGATTAAGATCGCCCGATTTATTCTATAGATTTATATCCGTGCGAAATGCAATCGTATGTCGCTCGAGGAAAGCTTTCGAATGTTCTACGTGACTCGCGATTTCTATACAATTCTTTGTACAATTTCTTCAATTTATCTGGCGAATTCTTGTCGCATGATAAATCTCAAATATTAGTTTAAACATCAATGCAATCTGGGCCAACGTTGACAACCTGAAAATATACAGATTTTTTTTTATAAGTTGAAATCTATTTTTGATATCTGCGCGATGCAGTTTTCCTAGAAGCCTAGGAAAATGCGATCTTGTACATATTGTGAACTTACTCACTCCGATCCTCCCCGCTTCCTCTCGGTCCTCATCGTATCCCTGCGTCATCCAAGTCCCATCGTTCGCGGTGGTGCGAGAACTGTTCGAGCAAAAGCGACCGGGTAAATATCTTGCAGTGACGGTAAACGAAATTGAATAAACATTTTTCAGCAAATAGAGCCGACAATGGTACGAATTTAAAAGTCGCTGAGACGAGCACAGGTGGTTCCCCTGTCGTTGGAAAAAGCGCCGAACGGAAAAATTGCATTTCATATCCCCCCCTTGCCCCTTGCTCTTCTCTTCGCATTTCATTCCTCCCTTACACATTTTTTGCTTTGTCGTCCTCTCTCTTTTCCTTCCTCTTCTCATCTTTCTCCTATCCATCTCTGCTTTTCCATATACCGTGAGAACCACCCCCATAAACCTCTACCTTCGTAGACAACGAAACTATCGGTGATGTAATCGACTTTTGTACCTTCGGTTATCCTTCGATTCTCGCTACGAATTGGTTATAAATGTTAATGTACGAGCCAGCTGCGATGCAATCTTTCTGTGAAATAACGTTTCAACATGAGACGTGCAGTTTTAAATTTGACAAAATTCCAACGAAATTCCATGAAATTCCACGAAGTGATGGCATGTTTGATATCGAGTAGAATTTATAATAAAAAAAAAAAAAACGTGAAATATGCACATTTGAATTTATTTTCATCGACTTTAATTTTCTTCGTATTTTTTTTTCTATTATTAGATTTTATGATATTAAGATGCGGGAAGTTTAAGCATATATTATTTTATGTTTTATAAGACACTCTATTTAAGTATCCTGTCAATATATGTTAACTTTATGAAAAAAAATCGAGGTTAATTCTCTCAAGGCACGCTTTTATCATCTTTAGAGTAGAGGCGGCTGGTATTTGTTACACACCAGCGATCACGCGGTCTTATAACGTCGTTCACACAATGTACAAGCTTAAAGAGCTATCGATAATTATTAACAATAAATGATAAACACAGACAGACAATATATAACAGACAAATATGATTTTATAAAATTGTTCGCGACGTTGGAAACGCAAGCTCGTAAATAAGTTGTAAGAAAGGAAGGAAGGAAGGAAGGTTGCAAATGCGAGACGAAAGAAGGAGAGAGATCAGATCCGATTTACGATCGACGGTCTGGCTTGGCAGTTTGTTCGCGGCAGAATCGTTTCTTCGCCGCAGAGAACGGTGGCCGATCGAGCGCAACGATCGATCACGCCAAACGATAAATTAGCGTCGAGTTAGTATCCGACGTGCTTACTTCGATTTCCGTGTTTGTGTGAATGCGATTGTCGGGAAGTGGTTTCTCGTTATACAAGATCGTGTATATTGTGCATATTTAGACGGCTATGAATGCGAATGACCGGTAGTAGAGGATGAATTCTGGGAGATGTTCCACTATGCACCTATGGATCTGACTTCCCCTCAGTATTACTGAGAGTTCCATGAGGGTTGACTATCATGGAATTGGCATTGTTATAACCATATTGGCATTGTTATAACCGTTTAAATTGAAATTAATTCTACGATATATAATTAGACGGATTAATCGGATCTTGTCTAATTATGAGGAAGACACTATTGGCATTCAATTGTGGAGCAGGGACGAAATATTATTTTATGTATTTTAATATTGAAAATATTGCGTTACATTTCTGGGCGCGGATCATCCACCGGCTTACGCATTATGCAAATCATTTTTCATGAAAGTTTCAAAGCCGACCGTATCTTCCGAGCTTGAGTCTTAAATCACAGTGAAGAATAAAGAAGACGGTGTCGCGGATCGGTTGATCTTGCTATGCATTTATGGATGTCGAACGTACGAAGAAAGCAATATTTTCCGCGCGGAATCCATCGACGTTTTCTCGATCCGCGGACTTCTATCCCCGAGCCGTCTATCGCTCGTCTCTCAACTCGCCTTCTCTTTCTTTTTCTGTACTTGCCATAATAGTAGAGTCTACCATGACCGTCGATTATTGTCCTCGTTGGAAAGCTCCAGGTGACCGAGTGCAAGTACACAGGAAAACACGTAGCTCGAAAGTTTCCCGCGATTTCCCCCAGGGCCCTCGAATAATTCTACGTCGAAAGTCCTTCTGGAATTCAACCGTCTTTCTTAGAACGTCGAAACAGTCACGGACGAGCAACGCCGATGTCGGGATTCTCACAAATTCCGATTGAAAATAAAATTCGTTCGAGTGCACTGAATTCTCCAATAATACGAAAGCACGAGTGCCTCTCGATATTAAGAGTATGAATGCTATACAGATAATTTGTAGAATTGTTTCTACGCGGCAAAAAGATTATCGAGACACGATGTCGAGACACGATAATCGAGTGTCTTGAGTGTTAATTACTTAACGTTCTTTCGAGGAAAGTAATGTAAATAATTGAATCTCTTTTTTTTCTTTCTTTCTTTCAGAACTCAGCGAAGCAGTAAAGTGGCGACGTTCCTCTAAGCTTCAAGAGAAATTCAGAAGACAACACGCGATTTATTTACATGCGGCGAGTGCAACCGTTCCGCTCGTGGCACGTGAAAGACACAAGTAAATTACTGGTTCGACTTCGGGCGTGCTAATCGGCTTCCCAACGTGCGGAAAGTCCAATTCTCTATAGAGATTGCTCGCGAGTGCCCGACGGTGCATTAAAACGGCGGGGAGATTCGCCGAGGACGAAGAGAGATAAAATAAGGAAAAAGCTTCACTAAAACATTCAGCAAGCGCGAACCGGCGCCCACGGACGTACATCGGACTTGCTTATTACGGAAATCCAGTTTGTTGGAATGAGGCTTTGAAGTTTCTATCGCTTGCCGACGAACCGTGCTCCACCTTCTTCCGCTGCCATTCGTTTTTTGCACGCGGACGCGGAAGGAAAGATGGGAGAGCGGAAAACTGAGCGGCTTCGGATTCAGACGGTAAGGAGAAAGTTTAAGTGACTCATGGAGACTCTTTCGAAAATTTCCTCCATGCCGTTCTCTAAGTTTCTGTTTTCCCGATGAAAGAAGGAGTGAGAGATACGGAGGAAAGAGAAGAAAGAGATAGAGAGAGAGGAAGGGAGAAAAGATTAGTAGCCACGGTTTCTCGAAGGCGATATTTTTCATCCATTTTCCACGTAATGCATTAGAGGGTACGAAGTAACACTGGTATCGCGATTCGTTTACGAACTTAAATTAAGTCATATAACTCGAGCCGTTAACACTGCACAAGTTGATGTGGTACTCACAATGCAACGAAGAATGAGTAATTGTTCTTACGTCACGTTACGTACGACGTTTACTTCTTTCTTTTCTTACAAAAAATTAAGGAAAGCATTATTTGTTTTAAAGAGCGTTTTAGCTGCGTGTATCTACCTATTTTGTTCTAATTTTGCTAAGTAAAGCTAATTGTAGTAATGTTGAAAGATTAAAGCTAAAAAATAAATTTTTAAAGTTTTTAAAACATCTTCCCTTTTGCAAAAGAATATTTTTACAATATCAACCATCAGTGTCCGCGACAAAAGGATTCTGGGAGGTAACTAATATCGCAGAACATATTTCGAGCATCGATTTTCTCTATAGAATTCCAATCCACATTCCAGGCAGGACGATCGTGCTATGGAAAAATGACGGAAGTGTCCGCACTACGTACGGTCGAGCATCCCTTTGCTGTCAGAAGATCCTGCCAGGATATCATCCAGTCGAGCGATTTCGACCGCGCGTCGTAATAAGAAATCGACAGTGACGAAAATCAAAGTGACATCTGGTCGAATGACGCCGGTGAATTTGAGTGCTGGTCGAAGAAACGCGAAGAAATCCGTCCCCTAGATTATAGCTCGCGCGAAACTTCAGTCATGCGGCTGTGGCGATTGAATCTACGAGATCCGAGGACGCGCGTACGAAGAAAACTCTATTATAAAATTTCGTTTCTGTCAAGAGTCTTGCTTTCTTATCGCAAAGTATGATAATTCGAGATAACTGTACGCACAAGGAACGTACGAAGGAATGAACGTAAACAAGTGGAGAACGAATTAGTAACAGACAGACCGGAAATCGATAACAGAGTGCAAAACCTTTGACATCGCCACGAAGCGCGATATAATTATCGAAAGTCGATAAATCGTTCGCCTTCGGCTGTTAACTTAATTATTCGCGACAAGTGGTGTGTGGCAAATGCGCGCATACGGCGATATATCCGGCAACAAACGTGAAATTGACGGCGATAGGACTCGGTGATTCTCGGTAGGTAGAATAAAGAAGAGAGGATGGAGAAGGACAACGTTAGACATTACAGAGCTTACGAGGGTTTCAAGCCGGCGAACAACGGCAACACCTCGTCTCTGAAGAGATCGACGTCGGAACGCTCGAAGACGCATCCGTCTCGCCAAGTGAGATGCTTGTGCTTCGGCGGTGTGCCTGACAAAGCCAGTCAGCATTCCTTTTTGAAGGGATTTATCATAAACCTCGGGATATGCGCCCTTCTCGTAGCCTACACCTTATTGGGCAGCTTCATCTTCCTGGCCATCGAGAACGGGACCGTCGATGGCGTTGGTCTGCAACAAAGGACCCTTGCCACGACGGTGGCTGGAAATCAGCAGCACACCAGACGGAACACCAGCGCTTGGCTAAAACAGGTGAGAAATAAAATTACTTCATATTCGTTTATCGTATACCTAGATTCTTCTTATTTAGAGAAATATTGTTAGCACTTTTAGCGGGAAACAGGAAAATAAACATATTTTGAAACATATTTTTAAATCACGCACAATTTCCTTTCCAAGAAGTATACGCTCATTACGCTCAAATGTGGCCGTATATATCATAGATTACAAGAAGTTATATCCAACGGAGATGTATGGCGGAATTAGCTCTTAAGTTCAAAAAGTCATAAAAATATTTCATAATAATCGTGTAGTGTGTGTACACTACGTATACAAGCAATAAGAGTAAAAATGATAGAAAGAGAGTAAACAGATTTGTCGATACTATGGGTGCATCATGGTTGTCGCCGTTGTGTGCCGTGGACGTAAGCCACGAACTTGTTTTTGCTTCTCTTTCCCTGGAGGAGGAGCAAACAGTTCCGACGGCGCCAGCTCTCGATTTATCGTCACGTCTCCGGTTTCATTCCGCTTTTCTACCTGAGGTGACCTCAGTGAACCCGAAGTCAATCGAATTATCGGTGCGTTCTGGCGCGAGCGCTCGTTTCAACGAAGTTTTATCGATCGTGCTTCTTTTCCGCTATCCTTACGCTTTAAAGGAAAAGCGTATTCCCCGAGGACATTGCGGCACAAAGGATGCTGTCTGTTGCTTCCGGCCAATAATAGTAACAACGGATTGTTCTCTGGATAGCAATCAGCGAACGGTTGAATATTTGCACTCTTTTTGTAAACAATTCGTTTGATTTCATCTTTGCACCGATGGAAAAAAATAGCTTCCCGTTGTATTTTATTAATTTACCTTTTCTTTGTGAGAAACTCCTGAATTTTATTCCGCTGTGCGGTCCAATAATGGAGCAATCATAGAGAGTTTAACGTTTGTCAAGATAAGCTGCGAAACGCATTGCATTCACATCTAATGTATTTTAATTAACAAGCGTAAATTCAATTTAATTGACAATATGTCTATTATAATCCTAAGATAAACGTAGACGTATAATCCGCGATATCTGACAATATTTCAAACGTCGCCTAATTAATAACTTTTGGTGTGACGAAGCTGAATCACGAGGCCCGGACAAAGACCGTGGAGAGCATATGGATGATTACCGAGCACTTGAATGTTCTCTACCGTGAGAACTGGACGAAATTGGCCGACCAGGAGATTGCGCGATTTCAGGACCAACTAGTGAAAAGGATCACGGAGGACATGATGGCGACCCAAAATGCAGGAACATACACCGGGAGTTCCACCAGCGAAACTGTAACGGAACGCCATGTGCCGGAGTACGAATGGAACTTCGCGAAGGCATTCCTCTATTCTCTGACAGTGCTCACCACAATTGGTAAGTTTTAGACGCAATTAATTAATTATAATGCTACATGCATCCATTTCATTCGCGCTTTGGTGCGGCGCCTCCCGTCGCATTCTTGTAAACGTAACGAGAGATTCCTGCGAGCCAGGATTGTGATGAAATATGGCGTCGTGTGTCAACTGTCTCGTGTGTGTGTGTGTGTGTGTGTGTGTGTGTGTGTGTGTGTGTGTGTGTGTGTGTGTGTGTGTGTGTGTGTGTAGCAGAAGTTATAACTTTCCTGCTTGTCATTAAATTCTTTAAGACAAAAAAATCTTAATACTTTGCATATATATATATATTATACCATAAAACAATAACGTAATAACGAATTTAGAATTTGTATATTGATGAAAACTTCTACGACTTAACGTGAAAAATAATGTCATTAACATGGTAATAGTAACTGGAAACGTGTAATTTCTAAGTTCGCAGTATGCTTACGGCAATCCAGTGATGGCATGATAAACAACGGCATACAATCAGTATCAGTAAGCATACGCGTCGAAACTACAAAGTGCGCAGATGATGTTTGCTTCTCTACCTGAACTTGTGCGATTCCCATCTAAACAAGCTGTACATACACTGTACATATGTACGACGGTATAAGTTTACATGAAAGGAGTGCTGGCAGAGCAGAATATTTGTACGTAATTAGTAGGTTAGGGAGAGACAGAAGCGAACACCGGCGAGACATTGACGCACAGACGGATAATTAGTTGAATCAAATACTACGTCAATTACTTATGATGTTAAAGGGACAATGCTGATGTTAATAGCGCTGATAATGTAATTTGCAATTACATTGAACGGTTTTTATAATTTATTTAAATAACTTGTAAATTAAATTTCTTATTTCATATTCAATTATTTCAAAATAATCTATCTCAATTGATTATTTTTTTAAAATGCAATCAAATTTTATTGAAATTTAATAAATCCCCAATTGTGTTATAAATCACGAGTTATATTAAAAGATATAGGGGATATGATAAGATAAAATTTCCGTGCTAAGACAAAATTGCTCGAAGAGTATTTCCGTTATTTAATCGTCAAGAAAAAGAAGAAGAAGATGAGGAAAATAATATAGCAGGTATTAATTTTTGGAGCAAACAAAATCGACATTAATCTGTAATAGTTACGCCATGCAAATATATTGTCGACCTCGGAGATGGGTCTTCCTTCATTTTTAGACGATATCTTTGACAATTTTATTGCTTCCGATTTAGTAACACCGGAAACCAGTTACGTCACGTCCGATCGTTTACTCTAGTTATTACTGAAACAGATTGGTACTTCATGAGTTGGAGGATATTTAAAAAAGGAAGGAAGAAATGGTCGGCAATATCTAGTGGCTTATCGAATTATCGATATGACGTATATACCTATTCTTTCTTTAATACTCTTAACTACTTTGGTAGATCTCTCGAAATGGTTTCTGATATTACTAGTATGCTATACTATTTGCCATGTTCATTCATGATTACGATTTGTTTCTTTCATTTTATAGAAATTTTCTTCCATAAGAGTGAATAATTTTAAAATATGAATTTTAATAAATATGTTACAGAATGAAATAATTAATGGTACATTGCTCAGGTGTTGATAAAACGGATTTAACTGAATAGAAAAATTTCTTTGCTATTTTGCGATTGTTGCAATAATAACAAGAAATTAATGATTAACTATCGAGTGAGTGTGTATCCTAATTTACATTAAATGCAAACGCGACGGTGAAATACGATTATCTAGCATTCAAGATTGCTAGGAACGCGGCGAGATATTTGGAAGTGTGCATTATAGTCAGATGCTTTATCATTTATAGATCACCTTCAAGCATTTCACCGCGTTCCTAACAATCGCGAATGCGCCTAAAGCTGCACAGTTGTATCTCGCCACACGCTTGCATTTGCCAAGAGGCCGAGCAAATACGTACTCATTTAATGAGAGAACTTTTTGCTCAGTTTAACTCGCTCTGTTTGTACATGAGCAATGTGTCAATTATCAAATACCTATATACATATAAAATAATGTATATTATAAATACATATAATTTTTTTAAAAATATAGTTAAATATCACGTTATTAATTATCATTTTAAAAACAAAAAAATTGCATAAAAAATTAGGCTTAAAAATGACATTAAATATAGTTTTTGTTTCTATTTTCTATTTTAACAATTCCATGTGTCTTTATGTATGTGCCTTATTTACAGAATACGAGAGATCTATTTTAAACTACCTTGAAATTGTACGCGTGCACATCTACAGGAAACATTCGACGAACTCTCCGAACGCCCTTTTTTACCAAGACGATTTAATCATATGCTATGCCGCAGCCGGGTTCTCGGAAATTAATATTTCGTAACCCGACGTCAGCCCCCCTGTGTTTATAGGCAGAGAGCTAGGCGATTGATCGTCGGCCGCGAAATACGTAAAATCCCGAGGGTCGCGTGATACAGCATTTGCAATTTTCGCCAGCGTTGTATATAGAGGGACGTAATACGCGCATCCGCACGCGGAGATGTAATCGTGGCTAGGAACACGTGTGTTTCATGAATATTAATATAAATTTTAGCGCGCCCGTTTTTTGTCTATCGTCTACGGTAGACGAAATGCCGGCCCTCATCGTTATGAGGAAGAGATCGGTTTTATAGTTATTATTACGTCGCATGTAATTCGAAAATCACATTATTTTTTTATATTACAACCGGGCAATTCATTCAATCTTGCTCGGATGTCAAGGTGTTTCCTATTACACTTTGTTGCACAACTGTGACCTCACGCAACACTATACGGATGACCTCCTACGGCAGCATCGTCAGCAACAGGATCGATAATGGAACAGTTCCCCGATAGGAAAACGGCATGGAAAATTAATCTGTTCTGGCGAAGTTTGTTTCCATCTAAACTGACCGTTTCTACTTCCTCCACGTTGCATTGTTCTAAATAAAAAATTATTTGTTCCACTATCGCTCTTTTTCTTTTTTTGCTTATATAGACGAACGTACGACTGCCTGTCATTGGTTGCGGTTTCCTTTTTTCTTACTTTTTCCGGCATCGTATAGTAGTTAATTACGGAAAGTATTCCAGAACTTTTTATCGGCTTGTCCGAGCACGAAAATATTGTTCAGCGAGTCAACTACGTGCCGGCAGTCGAAAAACTTCGTACCAGCATAATACTAAGCGGATGCTATCGTTCGTAACTTTCTGCGAACAAAAAGTAAGCAGACATATCAGCCGGAGAAATGAGAGGAAAAGTTTTTTGTCACTGCGTATACGTTTCTATGCGTATCCGACCACGAGTTGAGCACATAAAATCAACTTAAATAAAGTTTTAATTAGAACATATAATCCTTAAAATAAAGTAGACTTATTATTGTTTTATCATATTTCCCACAATTTGATTATTGATTATGCGTAATTTTTTTTCTATCTTAATTACTTTTTGTTAAACAAACTATTTTTAAGATTAACTTGGAGGGAAAAATTGTGCTAGCAATTTCCAAATTTTATTCGTGTCTACTGCAAAAGAGAATTTATTTGTACAAAGCAAAATTTTTTGGGCGTACTTTGGTTGTACTTTCTATTGGAAAGAGAAAAAATTTTAGTAAAACAACAATGTTCTATTGAGAATGCGCAAACACATCACGGGGATGAGTAAACAATTCCCGGCACAGACAGAGGTGTTCTCTTTTAGGACAATACTTTCTCCATCCACTCATCCCGTTTGGTTAGTTTATCGTTTAAATTACGATCGAATCTTGACACGAAAATTTTAATCTCTATCTATGTTAAAAAATTTAAAATAAAAATTTAAAGCAAACAAAAATGTCATTAAATATCAGTAGTAGTTGGCTCTTAAAAATCAAAAAGTAAAATGATTTAACAGGATTTAAAATAACCACAAAGTTTCAAATAGTAAAGTGAAAACAAAAAGATAAATATGCGCGCGCACACACACGCGTGCATGTATACATGTGTACGTGTGTGTGTGTGTGTGTGTGTGTGTGTGTGTGTGTGTGTGTGTGTGTGTGTGTGTGTGTATGTATTTTATACATTTATTTTTTTAGAAATAATTAGAAAACAGAAAAAAATTGTACCATTAATATTATTAATACACAGTAAAAATATTTTGTATTTGTGTTAAAATCGGTCCTTGTTAAAATTTTTGTGTTAAATAACCTACATATTTATATGTAAATGTAACACATGTCTATTATGTTAACCTGATCTTAAATATAACAACAACATAACAAATATAAAATGTAAAATTATTAAAATGATTTAAGAAATGTGTTAAAATAACACAATTCGTACATATTTATTCAATATGTTAAAATTTACACAAAAAAATATTGGTTTTATTCTATAATAAGAGTGGGGATGACTTGTTATTATTTTTTGTGTGGTTTCGGCACAGTCTTGAATTTTGACGCGTCTCGACATGTTATTTTATCATAAAAATTATGTTAATTGTAACACACAATTAACTTCAAATTAAGATCAAGAGTACATTTCTTTTTTGTTGAAATATTAATATAGTGTCGGTGTTACTATTTAACACATCCATATTATGTTAAATTAACACAAAATTTTGAGTGGACCATTTGGAACATGCGATTTATGTTAAATTCAACACATTTTTTCCAACAGTGTACTATTAACATTAATTACAATATTCTGGAAATCATACGTGAACGTGTAATAGTGAAAACTTGAAGTATAATATTGAAATATAATTTTAGTTTAAAATCATATTGCACTTTTAAAAATAAAAATTTTACAGGAAAATACGAGCTTTTGTCTTTCAAAACTCATGTTTTTGAAAATAATATTTTTATTAAATTACTAATATGATATATACATAAATTTAATTTATCTTCTAATTATTTTAATTATAAAGAATAAAGTTACAAAAGCTTTTTTATGCAAGTGTAGATTATATATAAGGATTATTATTATATAAAGATTTTCTCATTGCATAAACGATTT